GCCTTTGTGCTTATATTTTTTTAAATGAACTCATAGTAGATAGACTGTGTATAATCTATTTCTTTTACAGTATGTAGCAGATTTTTTTCACATTAATAATATACAACTACATCACCATTTCAATGTATTTTATAATTGTACCATAATTATATTGCTACTATCTTAGTGATAATATATGAGGTTTTTATATTTTTTTCTATCATAATCAATGCCTCAATAAACATTCCTATGCATGTCTCTACATAAATTATATATTCACTTTTGGATTAAACATAAAATTTGTTTCTGACAAATATTGAAGGATGCAACATTTTCCTACAGCCATTCACTATTCTCCAAGTTTTTATGTGATAGCTTTGTATCTGGATAAATTCTTGGAGACACTTTGCTAGAACTTTATATCAAGCACACAGACGCACACAAAAACACAAACACACAGATAAGATCCAGGGAAACATCTTAAAAAAATGGAGGACAGACGGATGGCAAACCAAAATACGAATAGGGACTGTTAGGAGTGTTACATAAAATATGAGGCAAATTTGGCTTCAAAGATACAGGCATGTGTAAACAGGACTATGGCATAATATTGGCCATCCAAATGAGTAATTAACTGTAGTTATTTAAATCTATTTTTATATAAGTTATTGTTCTAAATGCATTTTGATGCCTGAGAAATGATTCATGCTAACAAGAAAATATACCTGCAAAAGCTGTTATGATTTAAATATTTGAGATTAATATTCCAAAACTAAAAATGGCACCATCCAGAGTTTTAAAATGTGGACTCCACTACTTTTCAAAGGAGATCATGCAGTGTAATGATTATAGCTGAAAACAAAAAAATTCAACAAAATTATAGAAGCAAATAGACAGATATGGTCTTTAATTTCACGGTAGTCACATTCAAGTGGGAAAAAAAATACAACAAACCAATAAAATCTAAGCAATGAGATCATTTCCAAGAAGAATAAGTATAGTAAAGGATACATGTATTTAATTCAGGATGATGTGATAGAAATTAACTGGTTCAGGGGAAAAAGAAACATCACATCAGGTTGTCTGAGAAAGCCTCTCTACTGAGAATATAACTCATAGGTAACAGAATGATGAGAAACAAACACACAAGGAAAGATCAGGGAAGGGCATCTTTGTCATAGAAACTAGTGGGTATGAAACCCCTGAGGTGAGAGAGAGCTTGGAATGTTTAAAAATCAGACCAAAAGACCAGCATATTTGGAGACGGTGTGGAAGAAGGAGACGGGAGAAGATCAAGTCTAAGAGATACGAACCTTCGAACCAAGGTGGAGCAAACTATTCCCCACAGGCCAAATCTGGACTGCTGACCGTTTTTAATGGACTCACCAACTAGAAATGTTTTCTTTTAATTTAAGGATTACATTTTAAATAGTTATATAAGTATGTACATAATATCCTCTTCATTCTCAAAGCCTAAAATATTTATCACCTTTTGGCCCTTTACAAAGTTTACCCTCCCCCTCTTCCCCTCATTCTAGACCATGGTAAGGAGTTTCTATTTTAATGTAAGTGTAAAAGAAAGGCATTAAAGGTTTGGTATCATTTCCATGTTTTGGAGATCATTCTGACTGCTATGTGGGGATTGCCTGCAAGGAATGCAGGCAGGGAGCACAGTTTGAGGCTACAGCAGTAGTCCAGGCGAGAGATTAAAGTGATTCAAAAAAGAAAACTTCTAGAGTAGGAAAGAACACTGCACGTTACGTGAGCATGACCTCAATTAATTAGCACTCAATAGTTCCAACACTGGCCGTCCAAGTTGAATGTGAAGGAAAATGTGGTTCATACATGACTCATTGACAACTTATCTAACCCATACAATCATTGATTTTATGATAGGCCAGTTTTTACTAAAATTGCTCCCAAAATAAGGAATTCATTTGTAGCATATAGAAACACACACAGTATATGCCTTATTTAAATAATTCTGATAAAAGGACCACTTAGTAAGTGTTGCTCATTCTGAGTACCAAACTTTGACCCTAAAAAATAAGGGGTCGAACTAGGCCAGAGAATTTATAAGGGCATTAACTTAAGAAATCTTTACTTAGAACTTCATAAGATATCATATTCCCTTTTTTCAGTTATCATGAAAATAATATCACCACGTATTGTCAGTGTCAGTTCAAAGGCTAAAAAGGGAGATGGAATGTGGAAACAAGAAAGAATGAAGTCAGGGTTGTGCAGACTACCCCCCAGAAAAGAGCGATGCTGAGTACCAGAAAATTGTAAGGAGAAACAGAGAAGTGAGTAGATAAGCACAGGGAAGAACAACAAAGAACTGAAGAAATAGTCAAGTCCATGGAAATGGCACAAAAACAGAAAGTTATTAGGGGGAACTGACCAATGCACCAAAATAGAAGCTTTCTTACCAGTGATGATTCCATAACTCAATGTACTTGTTCCATTTCTTATCTCCAAGATGTCTTATAAGTAGATTCCAACCCTGAAGAAACCTAGTGCTCTTTATTCATCTCTAATTGATCTTAAATATAGGGACAGGAAAAATAATTTGTATGTGTTTCAGGTTATAGTGAATTCTTATTTCCCTTGGTTACCCTTCAGGCTACTTCACATTCACTCCAGTTCAAGAGACTTATTTTGCCGGAAACCACTGACTTTGTCTTACACATTACGTATTGCCCCAAGACCAAGCAATTTGTTGGCCCCTTCCCCATTACAGCAATTAGTTTAATGGAAGACAGTTTAATTGAGACAGAGTCTTAACCTAGGATTTGAGACAGTAAAGGCAAGTTGTTATCAAACCTCTTCTTTGCACTACTTCTTAAAACACACATACAAAATACAGAAAGTTAATGGGACTTGAAGAAGATAATGTCTGCCTGATCCTTTACATACTTCAACTAAATCTAGTATCCAATTATTTTAAGCATTAGAGAAGGACGCTCTCCTTGATTCTTTCTCTCCTCCTCAGTCTCTGACTAGAAGTCACCCCAACAAAGTACAGAACTGCTTATTTTTGCAAGAGTCCATAAGCAAACCATCCTTCCAGCCTCAATTACCAATCCCAACAGTTCTCTTACAAGCTTTTGAAATTTATGAAGACAAGCTGCCTTTGTTAGACAAACACGATTTTCAGTTTTGGAAGTCACAAACTGTTACTGATAACTGTATTATCGAATTTGAGATTTAGCAGCTCTTTGTCTTTGGTCATCTTTCACTTTGCTTCAGTGGTCTAAAAGTCTTTCAAAGATGTTTTTCTGAAATCAATAGACCTTACCAGGGTGACACTTAAACTTTCAAGTCCCATTAGCCACTAAGAACTCCCAACAGAAAAGGACATTAACTGAGTGTTTTTTTTTAATAAGTAACTGTGAAAAGATTATATGGACTAATTATTCATCTGACTGGCTTCTTATAGGTGCTGAAAGGAGAAATAAATGCACTTAAAGCAGTACTTTGACAAATGTCTCTTACTCCTTGACCTGATTATTCAGATTCTTATGTGTGGGGTTTTATTAGTGTTGAAGCCAATTTTTTAGGCACACATCTCTGAAGTTATAATAAAAATTAACATCATGATTAAATATACAAATATTCATTTTACACTGCATTATATAGAGCACATATAACTCATAAAGCAAGGTCAGATCATGTTCTTATCACAATCCTTCACTTGGGACTACTATAAAATTTGCTGATGCTAAAATGGAAGTCAGTATCTGTTAGGTTGAGTCCAAGTCTGTTACTATGTGTAGCAACAGATGACTATATCAAAAAAGAAAAGTGTGAATTGAAAGATGTGTTTCAACTGTTTGAGATGGTTTCCTGAATGGGATGATGATATGTTTCATTATATTTAGTTCTAGAATACAAACTTAGATTCTTTCATTCCCTGTCTTTTGAAAGATGTTCCATTAATATAAATGATCATTTTATAAAATGCTTTTAAGAAATAACAATAAAGAATCCATTACATGAGAACTTGAAGGCTTATCCTTGATTCCTTTCATTATAACCAAAGTAGAAAATCTCTTTAATATGGTGGTTCTGATTACTCAAAATGTTTGGATCTGCCCTGAAACAAAGCAGCAGTTAAAAAGACACAAACTCCAGATGAAAAGGAATAAAAACAAAGATGGAAAAACTGTACCTTTTGGTAAGATGATCCACTTAAGCTCGAATAAATAATCCATTCATATTTTCCTCTCAATTGAATGACCCCAAACACACATCCAAATCCTTTGAGTTGAAAATCAAAGGCAATCAGACAGATGCCAGTAGGAACAGCTCTGGAGTGCAGTTCCCAGCAGGAACAACACAGAGGGTGAGTGACTACTGCATTTCCAAATGAACTTTTACTGCACACAGACCAGGGGATTCCTGGGCTGAAAAGTGCCACGAGTTTCCAGCACAGTCTCCACACAAAAACTCACACAAATCTGGGTGGCCATTTCAACTGGCACCTGGAATGCCTGGGAGACACAGTCGTCCATTCAACTGAAAAAAAAGGCGGGGCTGAAACAGGGAGCCAGGTGATCTGGCTCAGTGGGTCCCTCCCCCACAAAGACCAGCAATCTGAAACACTCTGGATTGAGAGTTTTGCAGCAAGTGCAGCTGGACCCAGGATGGTCCAGCCTGGTGGGGGGAAGGATGTCAGCCATTACCGAAGCAGTCCACCAATACTGAGTCTCACTACCATGAGAACAAGATGCATGAACCAACCCCATGCTTCATTTTCTCTACCTGGTCCCTTCCACAACACATAGGGATGATGGGAATTACAATTCAAGATGAGATTTGGGTGTGGACACAGACAAACCATATCACATATCATTTTCAAACTACAGAAAGTCAAAGATCAAGAAAAAATTTTGAAAGAAGACAGAGAGAAAACAAATAAAGGAACTTTGTCTATATAGAAATAAAGAATTACATCTGACTTTTCATCAGGAACCATCTACTATGGCCAGGCACAGTGGCTCACGTCTGTAATCCCAGAACATTGGGAGGCCAAGGAGGGCAGATCACCTGAGGCTGGAAATTCGAAACCAGCCTGACCAACATGGAGAAAGCCCATCTCCACTAAAACTACAAAATTAGCTGAAAGTGGTGGTGCCTGCCTATAATCCCAGCTACTCAGGAGGTTGAGGCAGGAGAATCACTTGAACCCAGGAGGCAGAGGTTGCAGTGAGCCGAGATCGCACCATTGCACTCCAACCTGGGTAACAAGAGCAAAACTTTGCCTCAAACGAGGAATGGAGGGGAGGGAAGGGGAGAGGAGAGGGAAAAGAAATCCTCTACTGTGAGCTCAATATCCCCCAAATTTCATATTTTTGAAATGAGGATTTTTGAAACTTAATCCCTATTCTTGTGTATTAAGAGGTAGAGCCTTTGAGGAAGTAATTAAGTGATGAGGGCAGAGCCATAGATTACAAGTGCCAAGTACTAGGGCACTTACAAAAGGGCTTCAGGGAGTGGATTCCCTCTCATCTTCTCTTCTGCCATGTGAAGACACAGTATTCATCCCCTTTTGCCCTTTGACCCCTTTTGACACTGAACCTGCTGGCACCTTGATCTTCAATTTCCCAGCCTCAAAACCTGTGAGAAATATATAAATGAAGGAGAGAGAGAAATTATAATTATTTTATAAAGTATTTTCATGACTCATGAAGTGATATAGCATTATTTGAAAGTGGACTTATATTTGTTGTAAATGTATATAATGTATACTGCAAATTCTATAGGAATCACTTTAAAAGTAAATATATATACATAAGTGGAGCTGGAACAACAGCACAACCACATGCAGAAAATTTAATCCAGACACAGCCCTTACACCATTCACAAAAGTTAGCTCAAAATAGATTGCAAACCTAAATTTCAATGCAGAAGTAAAACTCCCAGAATATAACATAGGAGAAAACTGAGATGACCTTGGCTATGGCGATTACTCTTTAGATACAGCACCAAAGGCATAATTCATGAAAGAATAATGGATAACCTGAACTTCATTAAAATTAAAAACTTCTGCTCTGCAAAAGACAATGTCAAGAGAATGAGAAGACAAGCCAAAGACTGGGATAAAATATTTGCAAAGGATCCATCCAATAGATGAGTTATCCAAATTACATAAATAATTAAACAATAACAAACAACCCAATTTTTTTAAATGGACCAAATACCTTACTAGACACCTCGCATATACAGATACAAATAAGCATATTAAAAGATGCTCTACATCTTATGTCATCTGAGAAATGCAAATTGAAAGGACAATAAGATACTACTACTTACCTATTAAAGTGGGTAAAATCTAGAATACTGACAACAGGAAATGCTCATTAGAATGTGCAGCAACAAGAATTCTCACTATTGCTGATAAGAATGCAACAGCGTACACCCATTTCAGAAGGTATTTTAGTGATTTCTTACAAAACTAAACATGCTGTTACCATACAATACAGAAATCACGTTCTTTGATATTTAACCAAATCAGTTGAAAACTTATGTTCACACAAAACTCTGCATGTTAATGTTTATAGCAGCTTTATTCAAAATTGCTAAAATTTAGAAGCAACCAAGATGTCCTTCAGTAGGTACATGAACAAATACACTGTGGTATAGCCAAACAATGGAATACTATTCAGAGCTAAAAAGAAATGAGCTATGAAATGAGCTCTCCAGCTATGAAAATACATTAAAGACATCTAAATGCATATCAGTATGTAAAAAAAAAGCCAACATGAAAAGCCTACATATTATATAATTCCGACTATATGACATTGTGGAAAAGGCAAAACTATGGAGACAAAAAAAAATCAGTGGTTGCCAAGGGTTGGAGTGGGGGAAGGGATGCATTGGTGGAGCACAGAGAAGTTTTAGGGCAGTGAAAATATTCTGTGTGATACTGTATTGGTAGATACACATTATTATATATTTGTCTAAAACCATAGAATGTGAAACACCAAAAGAACCCTAATGTAAACTATAGCTTCTGGGTAACGATGTTATATCAAGGTAGTTTCATCAGTTATGACAAACATACTCCTCTGGTAGAGAATGTTGACAATGGATGAGACTATGCATGCAGGGTGGGCAGTGGCAGAGGCTACTTAGGAAATCTCTGCATCTTCTCTTTGATATGAACTTACTCTTTAAAAATTGCCTTAAAAATAGTATCCCCAATAAAAACCAATAAATATTGTTATCAGCTACCAATTGTTTAAGATAAAGTTATTATACTAAGATAAAAAATATTTCCCTTGTCCTAAGAAACCTAGAGCCTGGATGATGTAAAAACAACCCTCCACGTAAGGCAACAGGTTAAAGTATTAATTGTGTAATGTTGGAATGCAATCAGAGTTAGAATGGAAAAAAGATAATTTCGAGATGAAATCTTCAGATAAGATCTGGAACTTACGGGGTCTTAAATGGTAGATGAAACTGTGATAAATAAGAAGGAGGCATTCTGAGGCAAGGTACTAGAGGAAAAGTTAGAAAACAGGCTTACCACTATTCATAGCAAAGACATGGAATCAACCCAAATGCCTAGCAATGATAGACTGGATAAAGGAAATATGATACATATATACCATGGAATACTATGCAGTCATAAAAAAGAAACAAGATCATGTCCTTTGCACAGGCATGGATGAAGCTGGGAGATACTATCCTCAGTAAACTAATGCAGGAACAGAAAACCAAAGACTGCATTTCTCACTTATAACTGAGAGCTGAATGATGAGAACACATGGACACATGATGGGGAACAGCACACACTGGGGCCTGTCAAAGGAAGAATGGGGGGAAGAGAGAGCATCAGAAAGAAAAGCTAATGGATTCTGGGCTTAAAAACTAGGTGATGGGATGATCTGTGCAGGAAACCACCATGACACACAGTTACGTATGCAGCAAACCTGCACATTCTGCACACGTACCCCAGAACTTAAAAGTTGAAGAAAAAAATAGGAAAGAGTATAGTTTAGACACTTAGGGAAATGTCTTTGTTTTAAAAAGTGCACCTTAAAGTTTTTAAATTAAAAAAACGTTAAAAATGAATAATAAAAAGAGAAAACAGGCTTATTGACAGGACAGAGTGGTTCCACTTAATAAAGCTGAGAATGTGGGTTTCTTTGTAAGGAAGTCATAGGAGACACGCCTGAAAAAGCAGGGTGTGGCAAAGCTGGCAATAGGGCAACAGTGGATAGAGGGACTCCAAATATTTAAAACGTTCTGCCTTTGATCTCTAAGCAATAAAAACCTGCTAAAGATTGTAGTAAGGAAAATTCCATAGTTGAAGAACTTCTAGAAAACTCTTCAGAAATACAATGCAGGTAGAAAAGAGGGTATTTTTAGTGGGAAGAAGGGCTGGTCCTGTAAACAAATTATTCAATATTGTCAGACAAGTCAACTGAGAGAATCAATGATGTGCTTCAAGACTTATAGAGCAAGAAGTAAAAATCAAGGCTATTAACCTATCACCTTGAACATTTCTATTAATCTATGTCATTCTTTTCAGGAATTATTTCAGGTGAAATTAAAGTATGTGAACTTTGTGTTCAAATCCTACAATTTATTTTTCCCACCAAGCGTCACAGTACATTCTATTCCACCACCATTAACAACTCCAACCTCACTCAGCCCTTTCTTCTTACCCCAAATCACATACCTGCAATGTTCTTCTCAACCTCCCGAAACCCCTTTCAGGAAAAGGCTCTGAGAAATTGATTTTATATAAAGATACAAATGTCTAATAAAATTTGATGAATAAATATCTCTCTAAGGTGTCTGATTTTAAGATGTAACACAGGAACGTTACTCTCAATGCAAACATCGAGTCATATTTTGGTAATTAAAGTCTTTCTGAAGAGCCTGAAAACATAAATATATAGGAGGCCTCCTATTGATAACCATCCTACTTGTGGAAAATTGCTCCAGAAACATATTTACACTCTCTCGTCCTGTCATTGTAGGAGACAAAGGTGACACTGGAGAAAGTGAGAGGAAGGAGAATAAGGTTTGCAGCCCACAGGGAATGCTGGTGGGTCAAGCTGTGAAAATGACTTGTAAGCATCGCAAGTTATTATTGCAGCAACACAGAATAGCAATGAATTATTGCACAACAAGCTTCCTGAGTCTCTGGAAATTGTCTCCCCATAAAGGAAGGAAGTAATTCTTGTTTTTAAGAGGAAAGAAATGAATACAGTATTTGGGTTAAAGAGGAGGCCTACCGTAGAAAAGATAGAGTTCAGTCTATATACAGATCAATTATTGTGATAGTCAGCAAAGGGAAGTGTCTGAAAGTGGTTTAGCCATCAAGAAATTATTTTATGGAACCGCTTTGACTCTATATACTACAGGTCAAATCCCATTGTAGAAAAGATTATTATGCTAACACCTCTGTATAAACATTTGCCATTTACTCAAACCAGGACAGTTTTTTGTGGGTTTATGCTTACCCAGAACAGCCCACTTTTTTTCTGAGCATTTATAACCACATTAGTGTATACTTCTCTTTCACTTTGGATCATAAGGAAATGTGATCTGGAAAAAGGAACACTCAGTGGAAAAAGGAGGAGTCACAATTCCCTGCTTCTTACACTATAAAGAAGTGCTGAATACTGAACTCTGTGGTATGCCTCTTCCGGCGCATGTCACGGTAATAACAAAATGAGGAACTGACAGAATTAGCATGTGCTTGCTAATGCATTTTCATGATTACCAACAGGCTCTGTGCTTTCTGAGCATTTCTACCTTCAGTAAGCTGCTAACTGAAATGCCAGTGAACAGGTACAGCTAGCCCAACTGTCTCCCTCATTTGTTACAATCCCAGCACTGACCTCATGTCTTTCTTTTATCCACCACTCTCCACAGTATTTGCACCCCTCTCTTTCCCATACACACACATTTTATCTGGGGAGTCATGACCCCATACCCCTTAATTATGAGGGCAAGGGCTAGATAGACAGAAACCTCCTCCTACCCAAACCCCTTCTGGTAGGAAGCAGTATGGGTGGGTGAATGGCTGGAAAACTTCCTTGTATGGGGTTTTCTTTCTCTGAATTAAAAAAAAAAAAAAGATTTTATTAACAACAACAAAAAAATGACTTTCTGGCCAGTGACCTTTGGAAAACTGTAAGGGATACTAGTTTTTAAAAATTCTCAATCTCCAGTTTAAAACTATAATACTGTCCTTTAACCTAATTCAACAACCCAAGAAAGCAGTAGAGTAACATTTCTCGGCTGAATCAATAATGCATTAAAGAAAGGTGCTATCATTGAAAAGTTATGAATACAAAACAGCTCAATGATATATTAGTGTCATCGCTTGCTGTCTCTTTCAGTTTGCTTGCATTATCGAATATAAGCAGAAAATAACCCTTCTTGTGTTTAGATTTGTCAGTGAGATCCTATTGGTATTCCATTCTGCCCTGTATTAAGGTTTTGTATCTTCCATTCAAAGCACTACAGGTACAAAAGATGCAACTCAAGTATCAGAACAACCACTGAAGACTATTTAGTGTTTGTTAGCACATTCTTGAAGAGTTCATGTTTTAAAAATCATTTAGTAACTTTCTAAAAGAAGGCAAATTATTACTGCTAAGACTCTCCTTGCTTTGTGATACAGGAAGACACAAAACATTTTTTTCACAGTCATTTAGCACAAATTTCAATATAATTTTCAAAAAATGTTAAGCTTTTAAAGGGTTAATATCTGATAAATTTTAAAACTTTTACAAATCAATAAGGACAAAACAAGCACCTAAATGGAAATTGCAATTCCTTGTGGCAATACAGGTGTTAGGACAGGCATCCTCATCCTTTGCTGTTGGGCAGTAAACTAGCCAATTTACTCTCTGGAAAACAGTTTGGTAAATTCACATCAAATTCCTTAAAAATATTTTACCCTATGATGAAGCAATTTCACATCTAGGTTTTTCACCCAAAGAAGGGCAAAAAAGCACCAGGCATGGATTTTTTTTTAAATGTGAACATGTGATTTCCAAGAGTATCAATAAATTAGACATTACAATAGTAACCAAAAACAAGGGACTTTCCAGAGCAGACACTATATCCAACATGATACCTAGCACGAAAGTAAAAACTCAAAAAAATTGTTAACTGATTTAACATATAAGTGAATATTTACTATAAAAACAAGTGCTCATCAAAATAAGGCCCACAGACTGGCAACACCGATATCACCTTGCTAGAAATACACATTTTAGAACCCTAGCCCAGACTGATTAATTGATAAATTATAGGGGTGGAGCCTACAAAACTATTTTAATAAGCCCTCCAGATGATTCTGATGTGCACTAAGATTTGTGAAGCACTGAGCTAGAATATTATACAGCCTTCAAAAAATAAAATCTCTCAACTGCATTCAATCTTTAACATTTTTTCTATGTTTATCTCTACCATCAGAGTAAGCTATTTAAAATTCTCCCAAGAGCAGAGACTTCCTTATCCTCTAAGCCCAGATTCCTCTGGAAACCAAACATGGAAAGAAGCTGAAATGTAGCAAAACCTTTATTGGGTTGCCTTTGTCACATTTTATTAAGATCCTTGCCTCGTGTTGTGATTAAAAATATCCAGATTCTGGAGATTGAATTGTGTTGAAATGTTGACTGTACTACTTACTAACTTGGAACCTTGAAAAAACAAACTTCTAGTTTCGATTTCTTCAACTATGGAATGAGGCTAAAGATACCTATATGTCAATGTTTTAAAGTGACAATATGAATGATATAAAGTCTATAAAACTTTGTGTATCACCATGCATACATTAGATCCTCAACAACTGTTAATCCCCTTTCCTTGGATCAGTGCTGGTTTCTTTAAGATGTCGCATGTATGCTTAGTCAGCAGGTGTTATGTGAAGACATATCTCACCATTTGGGGTATTTGTTAGTGTCTGATACATGCAAGGCAATTTATAAGTACTCGATGATTGATGGATTGACTGGTGTGATGAGTCAGACTGAGGCAGAGTTAGAGAATCCAGTCCTTTGGACCTCACTATACTGTATGGAACCACTTGAGAGAGGAGAAAAGCTTAAGCCTGTTGCCGCTAAAAGAAAAATGTCTGTGAACAGAGTAATCTTTGCACTCCTTACCATGCAGTTATCCTCCGTCTTCTGTGCTTTCCTTCCTCTAAATGAGATTCGATCTCTTCAAACAGCTGGCAGACTGCCTTTAAGGCAGAAAAGCCCTGGATGATATTTACCAATCTGTAATAAGAGATAACATACAACTTCCAGATGTCCTTTGTATTGGCAAATGGAACTGCTGAACAAACTTGAAAGATTAAAACTGAAGGAATTCAGTTATTTTTCCCCAAAACTGGCAACAGAAATTGAAAAGATGACATCATGAGACCAATTTGAACATGGAATACAAAAGTCTATCAAAATATGGCACTTAATCCTTCTCTGGGAATCCCTTATAAGCCAGAAGTCTTTGTGAAAAGCAACCCTCTCTTTCAACATAATGAACCCTTCACATTGCAACCTAACTCCTACAAAAAGAAACACATGCACACAGTCTTAGGGAGACATGAAATGAGAGCAGATGGACAAAGTTTACTTTATTTCCAACACTGCCATAGTGCTCCAGGAAGGAAAAGTTAAGACATGTTTCTTGCCAGAAGAGCATTTATAGGCAGGCACATAAACACATACATGCAATAAATAATTTATAGGTATAATTATAGAGATTGGATTAGGGTACATCAGGTGCACAGAAAAAGAAAAGGTCAATTTTATTAGTGGTGTGGAGGGAGGGAGAAGGCTTAAATGACTTATCTTGAGATAAATCTCTAAAGATGAGCAGGTCCTCAGAAGCCTTGCTCCTCAAGTGTGGTCCATGGACCAGCAGCTTGCTAGAATGCAAAACTCAGGCCCCACCCTAGAGCTAAGGAATGATCCCCAAAACATTCATGGGCACATGAATCCTAAACCTTTAATCTGAAATTGTTAAGAAGCACTGGTCTAAAGCAGTTTCAAAGGAACGTTAGAGGCAGAAAACTTTCTGCAGTAAGTTGATTAAATAGCATGAGACATCAAGATACTTACTGTAGGCCAAGAATTAAAAACTGGACGCCCATGATCCAAATTCAGCCCACATATGTGCTTTATTAGGATTGCACAGTGTTTTAAATATTGAGAAATTTAAAATCAAAGTCCAGATTTTCTGATTTCCTTGGGGGAAAAAAATTGGAAGTTTTGGCCAAACTGGACCCATATTCACATATAACAACAAAGGACAGGATAGACTGTCAGCTTCAGGCAAAGGTGAGCCCACAATTACCTTTTGTTCAGCCCTCTTTGCCCATTGTCATTATTACCTTTCTGGTCTCAGACATTTGATACTGCTACCCTTACAACTGACTCTGCTTTATAGAAGTTTAACAGGGACTGAAGAGAGAGAAGACAGCAGCTAACGTAGAATATGGAGTTGATGGAAGAATTCTTTGAATATGTTTTTGGCTGTGAAATAAATACCAATAAAAAGTAAGAGGGTATAAATGTGGGAGAGAGAGGGGAGCAGAGAACAGAATTCTGGGGAAAAATATGATATTAAGATCACAGAAGGGTTTAGCTTACCTCTTTGTCTGAGGAAGGATAGAAATGGTGAGTTGTGTCCAGATAGAGATAATTTTTCAGGTTCTCACAAGTAAGCCAATGAGTTTCTCTCTGAGAACCTCAATACTATCCACACAATTGGAGGCAAGATCATCTGCTGAGAGTAAAGTGGTAGTGTCAGGAATTTCAGAAGAGTGGTGAACATTTAGAATAGCAACCCACAGTGGGTAACAGGAACAGGAACTGATCAGAGATTTAGATGAATTTTCACATGATCTGGGAAACCACACTGAAGTTGGGGAGCAGATCAGAGAAATAGCAAGCTTCATGAGAATGACAAACTCGGGTCCTTCCTTCCAGATGACCATCACAGGAATGAGAAGTGAATGTTTGAATGGGCCAGAGTTTGCAGGCTGAATACAGAAAAAGGTCAAGATGCTAAGAGTATTAATAAGAGTGGCTGAAGTAAACTACCATGAGGTTCTGGCTAAACTACAAGTGAAGGAAAACTGTGAGAGTTTTAATAAACTTAGAGAAGAGAGTGGAACTAAGGAGATAGAGGTGCCAGTAACTGAAGAAGTAGATTTAAAGAGTCAATGAGTAGTCATTGGTAGATCCAGGTTTTGAATTTAAGGCTGTCTCATCCCAAAATCTATACTCTTTCTGCTATAACTTACCATTTCTATGAGTTAAATCAAAATATAAGGAAAAGTTTCCATTTTTCGGAAATGGCGCAAGCACAGTTGATTTGCCCTAGAATCCCTGGAAGGAATCACTGGGGGGTCAACCATATGTTGTTAAAGAAACAGAGTGGTTCCACTTCTGTTGACTCTTCTGCTTCCCCTTGATTCCATATTTCCTCATGCCAGCTGTTTTCTATCTTCTGTCTTCAAAGTTAGACAGAAGCAAGGATATTTATGTATTATCATCTGTAAACCTGCCAGCTCAAAAGAGGACAAATAAACAACTGTTACACAAGTTCATCTTAAAAGAGGCAGAAGTGTCAACATTAATATCTCTGGCTTCAAATTAGCACCTTTACGATTGTAAAAGGCTCTATTGTGCATCCTGCAGATTCATTAAGCTATCATGATGATAATAATAACCATTATTTTTACACTTACTATTAACGCTGAAACATTTGAGGCTTTGGCATGTAAATACCAAAAAAAAAAAAAAAAAAAAAATACTACCTGATATTACGTCCACTGAATGTCAACGAATAAATGACTTTAAGTACACACTTAGTCTCATCTTAGCAGTAATTATTATTGCCACTAAAACCAATTTATGGTGCTTCTTTTCCAAACAACTCCTTGAAGCTTTATTTTACTTTATTTAGTTTACATAAGTGATTATCAAATGTCATTGTCATATGCATTATTCAGTTAATCACCTAACAATTTAAAATACAGTAAGTGCATACTTGGGAAGAGTGTCATTCACAATATAGTAATAGGTTTGAAACACTAACAGAGCAAAACTTTCAGTAAGTGCTAAGTTTTTTTTTTTTTTAACTCTGCTCTAACCCAGTTGAGGACAAATGCCTAATTGAAGAAGGCAAGAATGAGCCAAAAAGAAAGAATTAAGCAATGAGAAAACACATTTTAGGCCCTATTCATCTCAGAAAGTACATTTCCCTACCTAAAATTAGAGAAAGAGAAGATAAAAGTCATTTAGGAGTTCATAAACCCATCCTTACTACAATGGTAGAAGGTCTTTTGCAGAAAGTAGTCCAGGCAATAACAGTATTTACAAATTATTTTCATTTAAGAAATCTCAACTCCACATTAGACAATTGTGTACCATAATAAAAAGAAATAAAAATAGTTAACATTAATGGAATCTATCTGGTTAGTTCTTTGCAGTAGAGTAAGACCCATCACTGAACTTTAATTACAACTTGGTGTAGTTGCATAAAAACATACCAAGAGACACTGCAGTTAGTATGTCAGTTTTTTTAAAAAAAATGCTTCATTCAATAAATACCAACATGGAACAACATGGAGATATTAAATACAACAAAGGATATTAAATAAAATGGATGAAAGAGGGACCTATTCCACGCACATAATCTAACTGCCACCTGACAGCTTTGCATCCATAACCTCATGAGAAGGGGCTGGTGGTCAACACCAAACCAATATTCTACCTTGGACACTCTGGTCCATGAACGGACTTCAGTGCACTTAAATGTCTTCTGGAATAAAAGCAGATTGAATGGATGACTGTATTTGTCTCTGTTTAAGTGTTCTCAGTTTGGCTGTTTAAAAAAAAAATTGTACTTTATTAGAATAGATTCAGTTCTTCTTAGCTAATTCTTTTGCTGTTTTACTATGTGCTAAGTTTTAAAGAGAACTTCAAGTATTAATTAACAGTAATTATAATATCTAGACAATATGTATCAGTCTTACTTTTCCATTTAATTGAGCCAAATGACTCCTCTTGCCTTCCTATACCCTTTGATTTGTATTCATGTAATAAGTAGATCTCTTCACAGCATTGATAGGCAAGCTGATTTTGATCTGGATGAGCCTCCTTCTGCCCAGGACCCTGTGTTTAGCATTGTAAAGGTAAAATACGTATAAAATACAATTCTTGTATCCAAAGAACTTACAATATCATACTAGTAATAAATTGTTTCTTTAAACAAAGACACAAATGAATGAGGCTTCTGCCCATCACTCCAACTCTATCTTTCACTGTAGCATTATATATATATATATATATGCTTTGTGAATATAGGAGTATTCATAATTAACTCAAAAAGTTGTGCTACTTCAAGTCTTTATGAGACTTTGCACAGCCAACTCTGCCGAGAATACCCTTCTCATTTTTTCCACCCATACCTTTACCTTATGCACTTGTAACACTTCTAACTAGAGATGATGCTTCATCAGTGAAGCAAGTTTTTATTTATAATAAAAGAAAAGACTATTTTATCTCCTCTTCCTCCATGATATCCTATACTGGCTTCTGTCACACACCCAAAGTTTACAGTCTCACACTTTCAGAATCCAGGCAACTAATGCAGGTGAGGGACATAGCAGGGGTAAAAGTAATAAATAGAGGTGGTACTGAATGGAAGAAGGTACCTGAATAAAGAATTGCCACTAACTTTATTTAATTGTCTGCATGTCAAACAAGATATAAATAAAACTTAATCTATGATCCTTCATTTTGGAATGTATAATCTAACTTTGCTTCACTTATACAAGTATAACTTTCTCCTCCCCAAAATATAACAATTTTTCAAGGACAAGACTGTGTCATAATCACTTCTATTTTCCCAACTTCTAACACACGGCATAATACGTATTAAAAACTCCCCAAGTATCTGTTGAATGTATGGATGCAGTATTAATCACTAGAAAGTGCTAGAGCTTTGTCCATACTGTTTGAAAAGTTTATGTTTAATCCTAGGAAAAAGGTTTCATGGGGAACATACCACACAAGTGTTGACTCCTGTAACTGTTGACAAGAGATACTTTTTACAACTAACTGTCTTAGCCTATTTTGTATCGCTATAACAAAACACTAGAGACTGTAATTTATAATAAAATACATTTATTCGGCTCATGGTTCTGGAGGCTGGGAAGTCCACAATCAAGGGGCAATAACTGGTGAAGGCCCTCTTACTCTGCCATTCCATGGCAGAAGGCAGAAGGGCAAAACAAAGCAAGAACAACAGAGGACAAGAGGGAATCACACTTAACTTTCATAAGAAACTCACTCCCACAATAATGGCATTAGTCTTTTATGAGGGTAGATCCCTCCGGACCTAAACAGCTCCCACTAGGCCCCACTTCCCAACATAATGCATTTTTTTAAAGTTTTCAAGTCTTGAACCTTGGAGAACACATTCAAACCATAGCACTAACTAAACCAAACTACAACTTTTAAGATTTTAATAATAAGTATAGCAAAGTGACCAAAAAGTGAAGCTGTATCCTTTGTCTTTATAATTGTTTTTAAACTTCACATCCTCCCAATCGAATTTGTTTAAAACAAAGCAAAATATAATAAATTAAGAGAAAATCAAGTTCTACATTGGTTCCGTTCATGTTTAGAAGAAGTGTTAAAACGAATGAATAGCCGGATACTTTTTTTAAAAAAAAAGACTTCAACTGTGCTGAGATTTCAGCATCCCAGCTGCATATAAATTAGGGACTATATGTCACCACTCATTCCTCTTTGTAATAGTAGAGATACTGTATTCAACAAAACCAGTCCTTGAAATCCCAACAGAGGTAGATTATCCAGTTTCCTGGAAGGTACTTCCAAAGTAAGTGACAATGTGAATGTGAAAGTGATAAGCACCACCCTAAAAACTCCATGAAAGGTAAAAGAAAATATAGAAACTGACTTTTCAAAAAGTATTATAACAGTTGGAAAATAATGACAATGGAGGAGATCTGATCTAGGGAACCCAAAATCTACCTCTTACCTTTTGCCTTCAAGCTGCCTTAATTATTCCTGGGCTCAAGATAGTTTAAATGATAATACCTCTTCCTCTAAACTCAATCAGGCTAGGAGGAGGAGAGGAGCCTGAATTCTGTTAAGGGGTAGACATAAATAATTGACAGCCATTATTGCAGAGGTCAAAGGATATGCAACTTCCCCAATCACTCCTGCAGATAGTATCACTATTGTAGAACCTAAGATTGGCCTTTTGAGATTTTTTTCAGGTTTTATGCATGTCTCACACCTGACTCCACCTGGACCTGACAACCTCTCCTATGGCTCCATTCAGAAGTGAATCAGCACCTAAGAGGTCAGTTTCAACTCCCTATAAGTTCATCTCCAACCCAACCAATCAGCAGCAAGCACCCACTGCCTAGATACCTACAAACTATCTTTGAAAAACCCCTAACCTACGAGCCTTCAAGGAGATTGATTTGAGTAATAACTCAATCTCTTGCATGGCATGGCCAGCCTCCTGTCAATTAAACTCTTTCTTCACTGCAATGCTGCCATCCATTTTGTTTATGCAGTGGGCAGGAAGAACGTGTGGGGAGGTTACAATGTTTGCACATTTATTCTTCTGTACTAATTCTTTCTATATTGATGTTCATCATTGTCCCCCTGGCTTCTTTCTCATGGAATTCTGTAACTGCCCAATGAGTTCACCTTGCCCACTGCCTAGACAGAGCCAATTTATCAATACAGGAGAATTGCAATGGAGAAAGAGTAAAAACTCGAGGAGACTGGAGTTTTATTACTCAAATCAGCCTCCCTAAACATTTGGGGAGCAGAGTTGGTTTTTTGTTTGTTTGCCTGTCTTTTTTAGTAGAGATGGAGTTTCACTGTGTTGGTGAGGCTGGTCTTGAACTCCTGACCTCATGACCTGCTGCCTCAGCCTCCCAAAGTGCTGGGATTATAGGCATGAGCCGCCATGCCTGGCCCCAGAGTTTTTAAGGATAATTTGGTGGGTAGGGGGCCAGTGATTTGGGAGTTCTAATTGGTCAGGTTAGGGATGAAATCACAAGGAATTGAAGCTGTCTTTCTGCATTGAGTCAGTTCCTGGGTCGGGGGGGGCGGGGGGCCACAAGACCAGATGAGCCAGTTACTCAATCTGGGTGATTCATTGAGAGCACAGGGTCTGCTAAATATCTCAAGCACTGATATGAGATTTTAAAATAATGATGCTATCCCCAGGAGCAATTGGGGGAGGTTCAGACTCTTACACCCAGAGGCTGCATGGCTCCTAAACTGTGATATCTAATCTTGTAGTTAATTTGTTAGTCCTACAAAGGCAGACTGGTCCCCTGGCAAGAAAGAGTTTTTTGGGGGGAAAGGGCTATTATCAATTCTATTTCAGAGTTAAACTATAAACTAAATTCCTTCCCAAGTTAGTTCAGCCTATGCCCAGGAATGAACAAGGACAGCTTAAAGGTT